TTTAGAGATTTTTAATTAGTGATTCATTAGAATCCATTATTGTATTGGTTATACCTCCAAGCAAATAGTAAAAAGGTTTTTCCTAATCCTTTAAAAGGTTTCATCTTGTGTAAAAGTTGTGCTTTAAACTAAAAAAGGCGACGTCTTAGTAGAAGTTATGCCTGATCCTGCAAAAAGCATATTGTAAAGGTTACGCCTGATCTTAAAAAAGGCATGTTGTAAAGGTTAAGCTTGATCCTATTGAAACGGTAAGCTGATAATGGATTCAAACTACTTGTGTTATCAAGGAAGAGGACGTAGGTATTGAAAGGTTGACCTTCTATAAAAGTCCTACTGGGTACTTTTTATTTTTTTGTTCTTTGCTTATTTGACTTATACTTTGTTTTAGTGTTTAATTATTTCATATTTTAACTGATTTTTGAGAAAGGTGGAATTTTTATTTAATAACCAATTCACCCCGTTCTTGGTAGTTTTACTTTAAACTTATCTTTCTAACAAGACATAACATTAAGATCACTTGAGCCTATTTAGAAAAAGCCTCCAACCACATGAAGAAATGGGCAAACAAAGGTTGAAAAGAGTAACACTTTAAGGTGGGGACCTTGTGCTGTGAAATTGGTACCCGAATAACTCAGATTCTTAGGAAACAAAGATCAATGACTAATGCAAAAGTATGAAGGCTAGGTATCGATTAGGTTAAGGTGGGGAAGACCACTTACAAGATTGATTCACCTAAGTGGCTGAAGGTGCATATAGTGTTTCACATCAGCAACCTAAAGCCATTCCATACTGATTTAGTAGATGGAAGTATGACTCAAGTCACAATAGCCACCATTAACACTGAGCCACCATCACAATGCTAAGTAAAGGAGATTCTTGTAGAAAGAACAACCATAATTAATTGACGACCAACAATAGGAGTACTTGGTGAAATAGGAAAGTTTGTGGGATAATGAAATCATCTGGAGAAGGAAGCCAACCTTTGTGCCTTCAAGCAGAAGATTAAAGTGTTCCAAATCAACTAGTCAACTAGGATGTCGATAGATTGAGTGGGGGAGGATGTCATGAGCTCACCTTGTATAAGGCCATGACAAGGTAGAACTGTCTAGAAGACTAATTCCTTTGCACCCTCAAGAGAGATGTCTCTCATTTAAACATTGTATTCGTATTTAGTGACGTATTAGAAATGTTCGTTAAGTCTTTAAGGGGAAGACCCTCTAGGGAATGAATGTCTCTATCTCACGCCTTATAACTATTCTTGGTGATATACTTGTAAAAGCTCATTAGCTCTTTATAAAGGGTGAGTAATCAACGAATTATTGAGTTGCCTCACTGGTAAAGGTATGTTTGTAGCTAACCATTTAGAGATGCCCTTATGGTCCGACGATGGCGCATCTCAGTCCTTGATAATTCTATTATATAGAGTTATTTTGACACATTTTGAGAGCTTAAGTAGCTAGATCTTTGATATTTTAGGTTCAAGTTTTAGCATTTTGGGTGTTTTTCTAGTTTAAGTTTGATTACATATTAAGTAGTTAATTTAAATTATTTTAGTTTAATTTTATGTTATTTTGTTTTAAATTACTTTAAGAGTAGTTATTACTTAATTCTCTTATTACTTTTGTAGGAAATTTGATGAAAATATGCTAATTGGATGAAAATTCATGTAAGTATGGCGATGGCTTCATTTGTATATGTTTTGGTATTTTGACCATATCTCTCTATATAGAACTCCAAATGAGGTGATTCTTAGACCACTAGAATTCTAAGAGGAAAGGATACAACTTTTTTGTTTACTACATCATCGAGTACAGATTTGATCGTGGTCAAAATATTTGTCTAATTTGAAGCACTATAGTAGAATGCATAGATTGAACATGAAGTAGTACTTGGATAATATCTTTCACTCAAGAAGTCCAATTGATGTAAGTCTTAAGCCTTTGAAATGCTAAGAGATAGAGCTAAAATTTTCATGTTTACCACTTCACTTAGTTTAGATCATATAGAGGTGAATATTGCACTAAAATATGCTTGACTGTTGCAGTTTTGCTCAAGGCAACAGGTGGAGGAAGGCTTAGACCTTGAGTTACTCAAAGTTGCAGCGCCGAGGAAGCCAAGGCCGTAGTGCTGAGTAGAGCAAGGTTGTAGCATTGATGAAAGGAAGTGCACCATACATTTTTTTAAGGCTAAAGAGCCATGGTGCCAAAAAATCATGGTCGCAACGCTATTGTAAGAAAAATTCAGCGTTGCAACTCCAAAAAATATGGCCATGACATCGGACGATTTTTCAAAAATAAAAATTTGATGGGATTTTGAAAATTATGTTACTTGGAGCCTATTTAAAGGACCTTTTTTAGAGGTTTTGAAGGAGTGGCAACAAGCAACTACTATAGAGAAAAGAAGCAATGAACAAAGCTAGAAAACAAAAGAATTTGAGATTGCAAAACTTCAATGCTTAGGTTCTTTCTCTACTTTTGTGTGTTTTTTTTTTATTTTCTTTGACTTAGATTTATGGCTAAATTTCTTTAGATGTTACTTTTATTAGTTATCATGAGTTAAATTATCTTTCCAAGACTATGGCAGACTTTAACATATAATCTGAATGTTTATTTCTCTTTTATTTACTATGAACGGGTATAGTTTTGTTTATTCAAATATGTTCTTAATACTTTTGATTGCTTGGTCAATAAATAATTGATTTGTGAATCTAATTGAGACTCGACAGAGAGATTTTAGATTAGATTAAGGTTTGAATATTCTATGTTCACGTCAGTTAGGTGATCTGATTTGTGACTTGGGTAGACATATGCCAATTACCATATATAGTCAAATTAGAATATTAGTTTAATGAACCTTATTTAATTGATTCCTATAGACATATGCTGACCCAATTAAATTAGGTATTTGTGCAAGCATCTCGATGAAGACTTATACATAACTTTAGATTCTAGGTTAGTAGAACCACCCATGAATGTAAATAATTAGATAAGTCGGTATTAGATGAAGTGTTGAATGAACTCATAATCCAAGGTTTTAGTCTATTGCCTTTTGCAAGTGATTTTAATTTCTGTTAGTTAACTTAATGTTTGTTTTAATTTTGTTTTAATTAATTTTTTTTTGAAAATTTTAGTTACTTAAATAAAATTAATTTATTATAAATTTTAGTACTTATCAAAGATTTAGGAACAAATCTTTATGGGAATGATACTCTACTTCATCACTATATTACTTGTTCGATACGTTTACTTGCGTATGCAAAATCGACAACAGTCCCTTTGTACTCATTTTTAATATTAATAAAACATTTTTATTTTATATGACTGCAGCAGTTGCGTATATGTCATTTATTATGCTTTATGGTTTAAATATTGCATTTCCCTAAACTAATTTTTGGCTATTATTAATGTTAAGGTTTTGATTAGTTGCAAGAATTGGAAATAAATAAGTATATGGTGTTTGTTTGAAGGATTTTTAGAGATAGAGAGCATACTAATCAGTGCAACTTCTTCTGGCTTTAGTGTAGAGAAACCCAACACTAGAAACCTTGATTGTCTTTTAAGAATTGTTTTGGTATAGAGTTTAGGGGAAAATTATGAGGGAGAAAAGGAGAAAAAATATGTTTTTGATATGAAATATAAATTGAAAGAACAATTATGAGAGAAAATATTTTGAAGGAGTAAGAAGATCTTATTTGAGGGTATATGTACGAATGAAGTGAGGGGCCCATTTATAAGTTAATAACTCTTTAAATCCCAATCTTAATCTAATTTAATTTATATCTAAATATAAATTACATAATTACATATACGAATTCAAATTAGATCTTCTTGTGTTTGACCTATTACATTGTTTGGCTTGGTTTAAACTTTTTGAGTCATAACATAATTGATATTTACACATATATTCATAACTGTTTTGACTAATAATAATAAAAAGAACACATGGCAACTTGGAGAATTGAGAAAGGAAGGGGTAGAGAATTTGGATTCTAAATTTCCACCGTTTGCTTTCTATATGCGCCAAGGTCAAGAAGTATAAAACGTAACGAAAGAAAGAGTTTGGAAAATGTAAAACAAATTCATTACAGATAACATCATATCTAAACATTAATTAAAGGGAAAGGATAAGTTTTTATGTCACGATATCAAAAAATAATTTTAAATTATTTAAAAATTTTAATTAAGTTTATTTTTTATTATGTTCAATCAAGTTTTTATATTTATAATTTGAGTCAAATAAGCTCTTATACTAACGAATGACTAAATGTCATTAATTAAAACTTTACTTGTCATTTTATATAACGTAGTGTTAATGTGATATGCTGACATATAATAGTAAATGATGATGTGATATATTGATATGTTATAGTAGATGGTGACATGATATGTTAATATGATATGATAATGTGATTATGATAATATGATTATGCGGTTTTTTTTACCTTCAATATCTGAGTTATATAAACATAAAAATAGAAAGTGATGTTTTAACTAATAATAGTTAATTAACTTATTAGTTATAAAAACTTATTTGACGTAAAATAAAAATATACAGACTTAATCAAACGTAAGTTTTGTTTTGAAAATCAACTTGATTGAATGTAAATAAAAAATAAAATTTAATTTAGAAGCTTTTGAAAACATTATGTCTTTATTTTCCACTTCACTACTTTTACTTTTACAAAATGCCAGCTAAACAAAATTAAGATTATTTAATTTTCTAATCACATTTTTCCTTTAAGCCATATAACAGCAGTTAGTTTCATGTTACTCTATTAGACTCCATTTCATCCATTTTAATTACAATGTAAATTGAAACTCATAATCTTAATGTTTTGCAATAAAGACAAAAGGGTTAATTTCCAGTTTGAAGTGAAATTAGGGTAATTATCCTGATTTAAACTCAAAACACATGGAATTCGGAATATCTGCTGCCCGTGCAGACAAGTCGAACAAGGTGTTGGGAACATGGACAATATTCAGCAAGTATAATAACTATACTTTGAAGAAACCAAATCCATTAGTCATTCAGTCTTTTATTTTCAGTAACTATATTGTACATTGTTCAACATATTTGCAGACGCTAAGTAACATAACTGGACATCCCAATGGAGATAGTAGCCACAGCTTCAACTGCATGCTAAAATGGAGGGAGTTATGGGCCTGAATGACCTTGGGCAAAGCTAACAAGCTTCAGTTCTGAAGGGACCCTGAATGTTCTCATTTGTTCTTTTCTGTATTCCTTCGTGCCGATCTTTAATTTCGGTCTAACTGCAAACTTCTTGTGCTCTGGCACAATTTTCTATTTACAAATCAGCTTGATATCTTGGGCTAACATAAGGAACAAGGGGCAACTTCTTCCTCATCGAGTTGGTGCTGAGACAGGAGACGTTGTTCTAGTATATCTAATGCTTCCTTCATCCATGGGTATTGGCATGCTTTTCTAGCTTTATCAACACTCATCTACACAAAATTCAAAAAAAAATGGAATATGGTCAAAACTTTGTCCAACAGATCAATTTTTCTTTTCATTTTTTATTTTTGGTTAAATTAATTGATTCTAAGCAAAATTGAGCATACCCATTCTCTTTGACGAACATTCTTCTCTGGCCAGATGTCTAACTGCTCTTGAACAAGTAAAGGGAACATGTACCCTTCATAATGGGCGTCATGTGTCTTACTCTTAAAATTCCATTTACCCAATTCAGGCTGCAAAAGAATTAAGCTCCAGTCACTCTATATAACACGATCAATAGCAACAGAACTTCATTCCTAAAAATAAGCAAACACTGACCTCAACAATGCCTCGTACACCAGCCTCCTCTAGAGTCTCACGAGAAGCTGCATCCTTCTTGGATTCATCTATTTCCCAACCTCCCTGGAAAGAGTATGTACTGAATTATGTGATAAGAGATGAATCGAACTGAAACAATCTACTCCTGTTATCTTAGCATGTTACATAATTTGTTCATTTCAATTGTTCAAGTACCTTGGGAAATAGCATTCCTTTGCCTTTCTGTGAACTGATGACGAGGACTTCCAGTCCTTGGTTTTTCCCATCCAAGGAAGTTTTATATCGGTAAGGGATGCATCTGCACCGCAAAAGAAGGAAAAATGTTCAAGTTCAGCAACCCCTGCGGCGGCATATAATTCTGGGCAAACACTACTCAACACCCGATACGCTTGTCAGGTGTCAATCAAATGCAAATCATGCTCGAGAATTCTCCTTTTCCCCCATTTTCTTAAAGAAAACACTATTAAGGAGTAGCTACAGAAGTCAAGAGAACAATGAATGATATGTCCCACTTTCTTCAATTTTTTCCCATACAATGTGGGCCATACTCTACGAGAGCAACAGGCATATTGTTGAAGTAGATGGTGGGCATGTCGGCCATGTCGGCCCCATTAAGCTTCTAAACTATATATGAAGACTTTTACAAAATGGTAATAGAATAAAACAACAGAAGAAAGAGTTTGGTTTATGCACTCCTTAATCTTATCACATCAAGGACCTGTTTGATTTGTTCCATTCGATTGAAAAACTTTTGATATCTAGTGGTATTTAGATAGAGTTATCTAATAGTAAAGAAACATTAAGATAATTAGTCTATTTTACTGTTACAAAAAAACGAAAGGCCGCTTTACAAAGTCATCAGCTCCTCTTCCTCTCACAAGGTCTGATAGCTGCCTGCAGGAGTTTTATCGCCGAGGGCAATGGATTTAACTATCAAAAAACAAAGCAAAACCTACCTAGAACATGGGTTTAATCAAAGAAATGATGGAAACTTGAAAGACTTTGAACTGGTTGAGAGAAATTAGAAGAGAGAGAGAGAGAGGAGAAACCAACCCGACAACTAGGCGACGACCCTTGCTGTAACGCTGCAAATGTCTTCCTGTTCGAGACACTAAGGGAACCACATTCTCTTGAGGTAACAAGGCCACCATACCGACACTAGGGATGGTATTTCAAACAGAAACACTCTGAATTATGGAAAGGAAAAGGAACAACGCCGTTGATGCAGAATCCTAAGGGCACCGATTGTTTTTGTGCTAGTGGTTATGGTATTACTTAAGACCTTGTGAGAGAAAAGCGACACGCGATACGACCCATTTTAATAATGGTGGAGAGAGAAAGAGACGTCGTGGTTAATAGGGAGTTGAGCCTAAGCCTACCTGGCGCCTTGCATGAACCGAAGACGACGTGTCGCTGACGCACCACGTGAGACAAGGCCCCTACCCCTACCAATGGAGATATGGAAGCATATCAAATCCGTGTGGGAAGGAAAAGAGTTCTGACATCGACCTACACATGGTTGGATTTACACATCCACCCAACTTGTCTTGAATTTTTTTATTAATATTTATTAAGGACATAAGCAAGTCAAGCTACTCGCAAATTATTTATTCTCCAACTTTTCAATAATATAAAATTTTTAATATATGATTAATCAGAATGGTACAAGTATAATAATTAAAGTTTTGAAATTTTTTAATATTAATTAGATATTTTAATTTTTATTTGATATTTCAATGTTCAGTATCTTATATGTACATGTGCACATTTGAGATTCCATTTACTAAGATGCAATCGGACGAGGAATATTAAAATGAAGGCATTTTAATATACATCTATGTAAATCAGCAAATTCTGTAGTAAGGTTAACTTTAATGTAAGGCTATGAATAAGAACCATTAGGTTTAAAAAGTTGATTTTCAGCCATTGATCAATAAATAAAATAGCAACCTGTTTACCCAACAAATAGGTTACGCACAAAACCTAAATAACCTAAAATAAATAAAAATAAAACAAAATTAAAAACAAATAATTAATAAAAATATTATTTAAAGTGGAAAAATTAACAAAGAGAATAACAGAATATTTATGCAAATTAATAATTTAAACTTATATTCTTGGGTAAAAAATATTAGATATTGAAATTTTTTTAAATAAAACTTATAATAAAAATGTAATATAATAATCAATATTTTAACTATAATTATTTTTATTATTAACTATTTATAAATTAAATTTTATAAACCGTTAAATACTTTTAACTCAATATTAAAAAATTTAATTTTTAATTTTAATAAAAATTATTCTTATTTTTATTATTATTCATTTATTTTTATCTTAACTTAATTGACTTCTTACATTAAATCTCACACATTTATTTCAATATTTTTACAATGCTTATTCTACTTTTATAATTTTTTAAGTTAATTTTTACTGTTCTACATCAAGGTTTTTAACTACTAATTTTCACAATAATTTTTTTTGTCAGCCGTAAAACACTTTAAACTCAAGAATAAAAAGTTAAATATTCAATTTTCAGAAAATTATATTTGCTTGACATAATTGACTTGTTACATTAAATCTCACACATTTACATCAATATTTTGATAATATTTGTTCCACCTTTATAATGTTTTATGTTAATTCTTACTACTGTACGTCAAGGCTTTTTAACTACTAATTTTCATTATAATTCTTTTTATCTTTACTATTATTCATGTATAGATTAAAATTTGTAAACCGTAAAACACTTTAAACTTGAAAATAACAGTTTAAATATTTAATTTTGTCGAAAATTATGTTTGTTTGATATAATTAACTTTTTAAGGTAAATCTCACACATGCACATCAATATTTTGATAATGCTTGTTACATTTTTATTTTTCATTAATTCTTACCGTTTTACGTTAAGGCTTTTCAACTATTAATTTTCACCATAATTCTTTTTATCCTTACTATTGTTTATGTATAGATTAAAATTTGTCAGTTGTAAAAAACTTTCAAATTTCTTGAAAATTTGAATTAAGATTTCATAAAATCCAAAATCTCAATCTCTCCAATTTTCAGATTTGGTAGTAAAATTTGACCCAAATCTGCTAGTGACGGGCTACCTTTTATGTGGACAGTAAGAAAAAAGAGAAGAAAGAGATTTGACCCAAATCTCTCCATGCCTCAACGAATGAAACGGCTTGAGCTTTTTTTGGACCATCAAGCAAATTGTCTCAAAGCCATTGAGGAAATGATGAGGACATATGCTCAAGCATGTTAGCATGGACACAGCTACATTCCCTGTATTGCACTTTGATCCCACCTAAGGTGAGGATGACAATGCTATTGTGAAAAACGATAAGGATTAACTTCGTCTGCAAGTTTGGGGGAGTATTTTCTTTCTTTAATTTTAGAAACATTGAGGATAATGTTCACTTTAAGTTTAGGGAAAATTTTTATATTTTCTTTTATTTGTTGTATTCTTGTTTTAAACTAGTCCATTTGCATGTTAGTATTAGGAATGTGTTGAAATATTAAGCTAGAGTTGTACACCAATAACAATTGATTTATCTATCCAATGATGAAAACTTATTGCCTTGTTATTCTATTTACTTTAAATAAGCATCAATATTGTTGTAGTATTGTGTGGAATTCTTATGCATAGCATCAATTTCGAATGTGATTTCCATATTTGAACACTATGTTTCTTGTATTGTTTCATAATGTACAGTTAGAAAATGAATATTTGAGTGTGAATCTTTAAACTATGTTTTAGAATTTTAGAATTTGTTTGATCTTTTCTTAAGATGAAATTCTAGGTTATACTTAGTTAGGGAATTACTTAGGCCACTTTTGGATCAATTGGGCTTTTTCAAGCTACCCTAATCAAATTTTATCCTTAGTACACCCCTTTGAGCCTAAATTTATCCTTTTCTTTGTCAACCAAAAATAGATTATCCTACCTTGCAATGAAATTTCCAATTCCATTACCCTCTTTTCTAAGTATGCATATTATTTTAAGATTTATATATATATGGATAAAATGTAAAAGAAAAAGGTAGAATGAATGAATGAGAACAATTTCCAACCATGATGTGAACCATCCATTCTACAAAAATCAAAGAAAACAAGTTCAAGGTGAATGTTGAAATGTGAGAAAAAAAAATTATGCATGTGAATGAAAAGTAAAAAAGAAAGAATAAGGTGTACTTGGTGAAGGAAGATAAGACTATATAGATTCTAGAATAATTATGTGCTTAGGGTGAATTGAGTCTTAATATATCCCATATCATACCTTAACCCTAGTTGAACATTACAAGCTGAATAAAGTCTTAAGGATCCATAGCTAAGTGATGACTTACATTAGTGGAGAAGGAGGTGAAAAACGAACATATGAAATTCTAAGCTTTCTGAGATTTGTATGAACATAATGTTTTCCGAATTGCATGATTTGCCTTATAAGAAACTTTACACACACACAAAAACTCATTTAAAAAATGAGCATGTACTTGGATGAAACATGAACTTAGATAATATCTATATTTGATTTTGAGTTTGGAAGACAAGGTCATTTATGAGGAAATTAAAGATGATCAATGATTTAGTGCATTCTCATAGTGGATGTCTTCAACTATATGGTTTCATTTTAGTTTTTGCTTGAGGACTGGCAAAATATTAAGTTTAGGGGTGTCATAACTCTATTATATAGAGTTATTTGACCACATTTTTGGGTATTGATATAGTTAAGTCTTTGTGTTTTAAGTAGTTTTTAAACGACATTTATGTTTTTGGTTGATTAGTTTAAAGCATATGAATTTAGTCTAATTCGTGTAGTTCTAGTATATTTTCATATTCAAGGTCCTATTTTAGGACAATTCTAATTTAGTCCTCATGTTTGTAGGTTTTCAAATGCATAAAGTGGAATGATGATGAATTATGCAATGGAGACTAAGTGCAAATTTTTATTAAATAAGTTATAGTAATTTAGACATAACCTGAACTACAAAGATTCAATCATTGTGATTCTTAGACCATAGGAAAGTTAATAGGAAGACCTATAACTTTCATGTTTATCAATTCACCCAGATCAGCTTTGAGGTAAAAGAAAATTGTATTGCAAGATGAAGCACTGTAGTAGTCTGCACCAAGGTAGCATAAGGAGGAGCGGCACCGCGACCTTGTAGAGCTCTAGGCTGCAATGCCTAGGAGAAGCTGCATGGTAGCCATACAAAAACCAGAGAACCCAGTATCACATCACCCAAGGAGGACCTCTGTGGCTCCAGATGGAAGAGGGCAAAAAAATTTTACAAGTCAAGAATGCTACGGGGCCCCTAGAGTAAGGTTGTAGCACTCTGACATGGATTATGAGAATTTAGTCAATCAGGAATTGTCACTAAATAATTAAAGGAGGGGGTTTAGAAAGAAAATGAATGACAATTTTTGAGAGAAAGGAAAGGGTTTTCAATGAGAGAAACGAGAAGCAATCAAAGGAATCGAGGATCAAGAATTAAAAGAAGTTTTGATGTTTCTTTACTTTTCATTTCTTTCATGTCTGTTTTAAATACAATGATAAACTAGATTTGTTTTCTAAGTTATGAGATATTTCATTATGTAATTTGAATATTTGATTTTTCCTTACTTGATATTAATGAAAATTGCATGGTATATTCAATTCTACACTTAATGCTTTCACTACTTGATCACTTGTTGAGATGTCTTGGGTCTCTGAATGGAACTCGACAGAAGGAGTTTAGAATAGGCTATAGTTTTGAATAGCCTTTGTTCAATTCACTTCGGAGTTAGGCGATAGTTTCGTATTTAGGATAGACATATACCTAAATACCTTAGACAGCCCAGTTAGAACACAAACTTAATGAACTTTTTCTAATTAATTTGCATAAACATATGGGATTAATTTTGAAAAGGTATGAGTGCATGATCTCAATAGAAACGTGTACATAATTTGGATTCTAGGTTAGCCTTGTATTCCATTAATTTAAGTTACGAAAAATGATTTAATTTAGATAAAGTTTTGAAAGACATCATAATCTTAGGTTTTAAGTAAATATTTTTTTTAGTGACAATTTATTCTTTGTTAATTAATTATTTTTAGTTTAATTAATCAATTGAAAACAAATGCTTAGATAAGAGATATTATGATATAAATTTAATACTTAGTAAAAATAAGTACAAATCTCTGTGAAAAACGATACTCAACTTACTTTATATTACTTGTCCAGTCACGTGCACTTGCATGTATTAATCTGATCAATAGTCTCATTAAGCTTATACTCTAATTATGACTATATGACATGTAAGTGTTTTCCTACCCTACACGTGAATTAAATCAATCATTTTATACAATTGAAATTTAACATATGCTATTTCATCCACGGTTTATTCTAAACTCTCTCTTCCAGTTCCCTTTAGTTTGCCTTATCTATCCAATTAGTAGCCAATACATCAAACACATTAAAAACATGATTGAAATAAACAACTCAAACACTATCAATCATAAGTATGAAAGAATATTAAAAATTGAGACTATGCGTTGGGTTCAATCGCAATTCTAGATTAAAAACTTAGCTCAACTTAATTCTCAAAACATCATCTAAAAGGGAAATTTAACCATCAAAACTGAACAAGAAAGTACAAAGATAACAAGAACAGAAAGAACTCTAATAATTCTCAAATCTTCTATCTACAATCTTCCTTGCTTTCTTTGTTAGCTCCAATGTCTCTTTTTCTTAATAAAAACCTTCCTTAATTGTCCCTCAAATGTGCTCTTGAAAAAGAAATTAAATAGAACTTAAGTCCAAAACCAAATAAAAGTCAAATAGCTCAAGAACTCTTCTTTCTTCATTGGGCACCTTGAAGCGTCCTTCTCAATCAGGCACCACAATGTTGACTCCTTCCATGGCTGCAACACTCAAAGCTTTACATTACTTATTCAAGCTCAACTACACTACTTCAAATTTGACATGGTTTTTGACCTCTTTCAAAGCTAAACTAAGCAAAGTGGTAAGCATGAAAGCTGTAGATTTACCTCTTATCTTTCTAATGATAAAGAATCACTTCAATTGGACTTTTGTAATAAGAGATATTCTCAAAAACCACTACATATGCAATTGAAGTATGCACCTAAAATGCATATCCTTCACAAAATAGGTCTTTTTTTTTCAAAGCACACGTACAAAAACATAAAACTTAACTTAAATAATAACAAAACTTAAAACCAAACATCATAAAATAACTTACACAATTGGATCCAACATAATTAAATTAAATTAAATTAATGACTAGAAATAACTAATACTTAAATTAAATATAAAAAATTAATCAAAATTACCAAAAATTATAACCAAATAACTCTACAAAATAGAGTTATTAAAACACAAGTTTGAATTGAATATGGCCAATGCTAAAGCTTGAGGGTCGACTGCAACGCTCTTGAGGTTAACTATGTTCTTCAAAATTCTCAAATTAAGGTTGCACAGTTGAGTACAACCTTCCTCTATTAGATCCAATTCCCAGGAGCATGTATTTTTCAAATTTGGGCTAAAGTAGTCGACTATAAAGAGGCCAAGGTCAACAATGTCTTTGAATTGTCCTATTTTTCATGCAACAAGCTAGCCAAGGTCGACTATACTTGTGCCGAGGTCTATTATGGCTATCTAAAAGTTGAATTGTGCTGTGCAATCTGCTTAAAGTTCGACTATGGCTCTTATAGGGTCAACTATGTCTTTTATAGAGTCGACTATGTCTTCTCTATTTCACAATTCTCCTTTCATTCTTTAACTATTCTATCATTGGATCGACTTGAGCTTTTCTAAGGTCGACTCAAGCTTTTGTAAGATTGGCTATTAACTTGTATCTTCAAGATTCCTTAACTTTTCGGCGCCTTTCTTCAACTCTTTCTTCCTTGCCTTGTTCTTATAATTAAATATTAATTCAAGGCATGTTTGCTCTACAATTTCTTAGTTAAAGATTTCTTGTTTGTAAGTTTTTATGATATTTTCGAATCATGTGTGGCTTTTCAAATAAATGTGTGACTTGAGGGGATGAAAAACATAATTAAGACAATTTCAAATGCTTGACATTAAAACCAAGAGATCATATTACTTTTGTCAAATCAAAACATAATATAATTCAAGGCTAACAACCTTTCCTTCATATCTTAATACCTCATTTCCAGAATGTTGAAAATACTTGAAAACTTGTCTAAATGAACTTCATTCATCCATACAAAGTTTTTACAAGCTGCACTAAGAATTTCCTATATTATCCTTTAACCTAAGGTTGAGGTTTCACACATTACTATATGCTTATTATGATAAAATAATTTATTAGCTATCATAATTATTTAAATAAAACTTACATAACATAATATATATATTTAATAAAAACATATTTACTTTTTGTTTTATGTCAACATTATAAAATTATAACTTAAAAAATTATTAACGTTTTCATTTATGCTTACATCAATAGAACAAATCAAAGTGTTGTTATTAAGTGAAAATAACTATTAATACATTTTTTTATAAATACAAATGAGAACATAACATAGATAATAATTTTGAAATTTTATGTATCCAATTTTATTTTCTTATAGGCATTTAGAAGGTGTCACTATGCCAACATTTTCTAAACTAGAGACAAGTGTGTCATAGGAATAATCTTGAAATTACAATTAAGATTTTGATATGGACAATTCTTATATATTTTCAAATAAGCCTCCGATAATCCAAGGTTTGTTTCTAGTCTTTCTGGGTTTATTGCCGAGACTAATCAGCGTGTAAATAAGTCAAGTTGCCACGATTGTGCAATTCTCAGTTTTAAGGGGATGTTGTCCTTGGATTTCTATGATTAACGCCTTGATCGGGTTTTTTGTGTAATCAAGAGACAATTTGCTTGGTCAAATGCATAGCTTTGGAGGGTAATTTTGTTGCCTATGTTAATGAAATTCTTCATTTTTTTTTTAAAAAAAGGTAATCCAAGGTAAAGAAAGCTTCAGGAATTTCCTTTTTTTTTCTTTTTCATGAGTTGTTCTATTTTCTTAGCAATTTAAATAAAAAAATGAATCTTTTGATAACTTTTTTTCAAAGCTCATGACGGTCCTAAGTTTCAACACAAAACCAAACTAAAACCTAGAAAGGAAAAGGTTGCCTCAATTCCTTGTAATAAAAAAAAAGCCGTTACACAATCTTTGTATAGTTTTATCTATAGATACATCAACAACATCTAGAACAGAAATATCCTTGAAAAACAATTTTGAGGATTTATCACAAATTGCTGTAACTAAAACAGATGCTGTTGGTTTCGTTGATGCACCAAGCTCTAATGTTCCGAATGCTGGAATTCAATCCTATACTCAAATATAAAAATAATTAAGAAATTGAAAATAAAACACAGTGGAATAATAAACTAGCATTCAATTAGAGAAACAGTCGAATCTCACAGGATCAATACTTATGTTTTTTGTCTAATTTTCAAATTAATTATGAATATCCATAAGTTTAAAAATTACATACCTTACTCTAGATATCGTAATCAATAGCCAATTAAATAAAAAATGCTTGTGATGGAGCAAGAAACCCTGAAAAGAGAATAAAATGGTCAAAAATCTTGCAACCAAAATCTTTGCTTGCTCACCTTTAGGGTTTGTCAACTCTTTAGCCACCTAAGTGTTTGACCTCTAACAGAAATTTGCACAATGACCGAATAAGACCATCTAAAAAGTATGATTTTAATTACGCTAGCAAGTTTTGTTTCTAAAACAAAAAGACCAAAAATTGTTATCGAATCTTATTTTTGTCAAACAAAGAAAACTATTTTTTCTTTTCAATTTTATGTAACAGCTGAGAAGTGGATGGAGGCTTGGAGTTTTAGGTTATTAACATAACATATCTATATAACCAAACTAAGTTATAACCATATATACAACAATTGTATTTTAATTCAATTAAGCCCCTTGTGACCTTAATTAATTTTTCACTTTATTGTGGTATATTTCAATTAAGTCCAACTTAATTGATTATCCTTATTTGATTTCAATCATGTCTCTTAATATGTGTGACCCGTTATGCTTCTAACATATTGTCAATAAATGTAAATCCTAATCAAATATCAATTTGATAATTGATTTCTATTTATAGATCATAAGCAGCATCTAGCAATACACCATGACCACTCAAATGTTAGAAAGTTAATTAAAAAATTTGACAAAGCCCTTTAGTGATAAGCCTCTCGATGCAATGTAGTCTTTTCATCAAATATCCCAAGTATGTCATAAAACATGGCTCAATATCTCCTTATATTCCATATTAATTCTCATGATTCATGACTAACCTTATGAATTTAGAAAACTAACTTTTCTCAAATTCATCATACCTTGGCCAAAAACTTTACACAAGTTAATCAATAATTGAGAACAAATGAGGTACATCCCTTCATATCACTTGAGGTAATGAATCCTCTCTTGACCACTCATTCACTTTTGCATACTTTATGGCATATCCAAAAACACCCTATTTAGGCATCTAGTCGCCTCTAGACTCATAGGGGTGAAATCAAATTATGTTATTCCTCATACAAGATGACTTGGAGTCTCAAGTCTACGGACTAGCTGCACAACTATCACATGAGAACATATTCCATAGACACTTAAGTAAAATACCAAATAGAGTTCTCATAGCGGGCCATGTTTAGTGAACTTGTTCTTTAACAAGCACCTACATGTTATCCTCAAGTATCCCATATACTTCAGTCTATGAGATCGGTTGCTTACTTCCTAAGTAACGAGGCTTAACATGTACTAGTCTTTGAACATTATCAATGCCATGTCTTAACAATACAATGACCAAGAACAATTTTAGGAACATGACTTTGATACATAGTGATCTCATAATTGTAACAACTTTACAATTCTCTTGCAAGGCCTTTATGTTCTATGGGCTTAATCCAATTAGTACTTAATAACTCTTTATTATTACACTAACATGAAGGAAAACCTCTATCATATATAGTTATGTGATTAAGTATGCATTAATGACAATCTAAATTCCTTGACCAATCCAATTGGCTCGAGGGCATATACCAACAATCTTCCACTTGCACTTGAGTCAATTGCTAACGTATCCAATATCGAACTTTTCTACTTAGCAACTGTGTGTCTACTAGAACAACTCAAATTGCCATATTTAGGAATATGTTAATTTATATTTTTGACAATCTCCTTTGTCATAATCAAAATACTAATTTAACTTACAACGAGAACTTCATCCTATTATTATGGCTCTTGTTGTTACTTTAACAACTTAGAATCATTTATTAATTCATTAAAACAATGATACAAATATCTCTTTTTTTTAGCCTAAACAAAAGGTTTGTATCCGATTATAGATATAATCATGTAGTTTTCTCTTGTTTTGGAACCATTCAAAAACAGCTGCTCAATCATGACTTTATGTCACTTTTAACATGTAATCTTAAATTCTGTTGTTAAGTGCCCTTTAGGCTCTAACTCTTTAATCCCATTTTGCTTTAATGAGTAACCTATCTGACTCCTACTAACCTGATGATGTACACAAAATATATTTATTTTATTCAATGTATTCAACTATTTTGAATTTATTAAATTAAATATAGATTATTATCCAATCATTCATGTTGTATTATTTGGGAGACTCATCTTACATGAGTAATGCATTAATATGCATCCTACTAATGATTTGTGTTTAATGGATGAATTATGCATCTTTATGCACCTTTATGCATCCCATTAAATCAATCTTTATGCACACATCTTAACCATTAAATTTTATAATTTCATGACCCTTGACCTTTAAAGTGTCATTAGCTCCCACTATTTCTATCATGTATAGAAATCTTACCAAGTAAACTTATTTACTTTCCTTTGGGGAGTTATATCCATAACTTTTATGTATACTTACATGTCATTAGTCATTCATTATTAGTTATGGGATGAAATGCTTTCAAACATTAATTCATGTGATGAACTGGATTTGAAATGCTTTGTGATTCATCTCTTATAAATTCAATAAGATAATCGATTATTATTTAGTTCTAAGCAATCTTGATTTAAATCTAAGATTTCAATAAGAATGCTTCTCGACTAAATATGTTCATAATCCTATTATAAATTCATTGAGTTAGGACTCAATTCTATCAAAGTTATCACATTAATTTCCTTTTTGATTCATAATTAAAAGAAAAATAATCTCACAATGATCTTATCATTATGACTTAGTATTGATTATCATATATGCAGTGTTATACTTAAGGATAAATAATTTAGAACAATTTCAAAATAAAATGAGATTGAATGTAAATATATAAATATAAATCAGCTAAGAATCTCATGCTAACAAAATAAAAATTTATGTTTCCTAAACATAAAATAAAATATTCAGCCATCAGCCCAAAACGAAAACATCTCATCTTAGTAATCATGCCATGAAAACATTAAATGTTCTAAAATTATTTATTGTTCCACAATCTAATCTAGGTCAACAAGCTTGATCACCATCAACTAAGGTTGTCCCCTTTATGATCCTATTCTTCACTACTACTTGTCATTAGTTCCTTCAATATGTCATACATATTAAAACCATTAATAAAGAGTAAGGTATCATATACCAAGTAGTGAAAAATAAATCATCATGCGATTCATACCTAAAATAAAAGCTTCCTTTCGTTTCTTCCCTTTGATGGATTCGAGATAATCCTTGCAATTGCGCCTCCAATGCCTTAGTTTGCCATAGAAATGGCATTTGTCATTGTCTTTATCCTTCTTCACTCCTCTTGTAGGCTTCATACCTTTTAAAGTTGATGTTTTTTCATCCTTGTCTTTCTTAGAAAAATTTTTTTTCTTATTTTGTATTTTTCTTAGAAAAGACAAGACGAACTAAAGGCTTCCTTTTTGAAATGGTGTTCTCAAACTGTGTGAGCATATTCAATAAACCCGAAAGGGTTACCTCAATCTTGCTCATGTTGAAGTTTAACACAAACTATGAATAGCTCTCTAGTAGCAAAGAAAGTACAAGGTCTATACTCAAATCATGATCCATAACGTAACCCAACTACTCAAACTGAGTGATATATCCTATCATCTTAAAAGCATGCAGCCTTACTGGGCTTCCATCAAACATCTTAAATCGAAACAATTCTCTTGAAATGTCAAATTTTCTATGCAACTGTCCTTATCGAACATTTTTCTAACGTTTAGGATACTATTTAGTGCATTCATAGCTTTATGTTGCTTTTGAAGATTTAAAGCCATACTAGCCAACATCACACATGTGGCTTGATCAAGATCATCCATATAAACTCTATAAGCCTCATTTTCCTCATTTGTAGCATCATCATTAGGTTCCTCAAGAATAAAACCATCTAAGACATAAGCCTTTTTCTCTTGTTTCAAGACAATCTGGATATTGCGAAACCAGTCAATGAAATTTGGGCCCATCAACTTGTTTACATCAAGTATACTTCTAAGTGACAAACTATTCGTCATGATTGATTTATATCTTATATAAGTCAACATATATAAAGCTTAGTCATTAACGCAAATTATGTAATCATAAAGACAAGGTTTTAGAATCTTATATGATTATTCTCAATATTCTATCAAAATAATAGTCCTCCTCTAATATTTAGAAAAATTTAACCTTTAAACTTTTTATTGAGCTAGGACTTTTTTCATCCCACCATGACCTTGAGTGACTCAACAAGCCATAATGAAACTAATTAGGTAGGTAATTTAGCTTACCAATTGTATCTTATATAACTCCTAAATCAATTAGGTGACAACTCCTTGTCTAAATATATCATATACATTTTCTCTAACTATGCCTCTAATACTATGCGATCATGTGTGACACATCCGAACAACATGATACTAGTTGAGTAAGACCCACCAATAACTCAAACGTACTCGTGTAAAAGTTTGGGTTTGAGTAACTCAATAAGCCTCCAATTAAAAGAGTAGCCAGGTTATCTTGTTATATAGTGAAAGGTAACTTTTTGACTCAATATGTTAATGAGGGGTTTTTATTTATTAATTCATTAATTAAGGTCTCATTGATTTGATGTTGTTGACATGCATAGCATTTATCTCATTTCACATACATCATATATATATATATATATATATTGAAAAATAAATCTATCTCATGCCAACTACTAAGATAATTATGGACTTTACTAATTCTAATTTCCTTGAGCCACTAAGGAAATTAGTTGGACAAATTTCTAGGAGATTTACACAAACATTGTCTTCAAGTTTTACTTGTACTCTCCTTAAATCTCCATGGCTCCTTTGGATCTCCATCTTCAAATTATAAAATTTTTCTGTCTCACCCTAGTTTTACACTTTGGTGTTACTAATTACATTCTATAATGAAAAAACCTTGAGTTACATTCGAGGAAAGTTAGGTGAAAAAAAACTTTTACAATTCAGAGAAAATAAAGATAAGGCAAGGTGCGCAAACCCTATTTTAAAATAAATACCATAAAAAATAAATTTAACTATCCATGACCTAATCTTCTAAGGTCTAAATCCATGACCATCCTCATGCTTTATAATCATAATCAAAAGCATAGAAATAAAAACAAACTCAATATCACTTACTGATCTTATGTGTTATTTGAGAAAAACATCAATTAATTCACTTAAAGTGCTAAACTCAAATTATTTGGTATTGTTTTATTTCAATTTA